CAGGATTTGAGTCCCTGGCGGCGTAGTGTGTTACTGATGGTAGCCTTTGTTACTTTGGTCCCAGCTCTCTGCAGGTCATTGACTAGGTCCCCCCACATTTTGACCCCACGGGGTGAGATCTTGCGTGGAGCCCCAGATCGAGGGAGATTATCAGTGGTCTTGTATGTCTTCCATTTTCTAATAATTGCTCCCACAGTTGATTTCTTCACACCAAGCTGCTTACCTATTGCAGATTCAGTCTTCCCAGCCTGGTGCAGGTCTACAATTTTGTTTCTGGTGTCCTTTGACAGCTCTTTGGTCTTGGCCATAGTGGAGTTTGGAGTGTGACTGTTTGAGGTTGTGGACAGGTGTCTTTTATACTGATAACGAGTTCAAACAAGTGCCATTAATACAGTTAACGAGTGGAGGACAGAGGAGGCTCTTAAAGAAGAAGTTACAGGTCTGTGAGAGCCAGAAATCTTGTTTGTTTGTAGGTGACCAAATACTTATTTTACCGAGGAATTTACCAATTAATTCATTAAAAATCCTACAATGTGATTTCCTGGATTATTTCCCCCCATTCTGTCTCTCATAGTTGAAGTGTACCTAGGATGAAAATTACAGGCCTCTCATCTTTTTAAGTGGGAGAACTTGCACAATTGGTGGCTGACTAAATACTTTTTTGCCCCACTGTATTTGAAAGTTATTACAACTGTAACACTTTTTTAGAGTGTCATCTTTATTATACTGTAAATAAGATAGTCTTATAAAAGTTATAGTTTTGAAACTGTCCTGGTGTTATTTATCGGCCTGACTTTGCAACAGGATGCCAATGTACAAATAGTTTAGCTACCATTATTTGGGCGATACTGTGGACAACATTTTACAATTATTCTCAACATATGTTCTTAGATTACAAAACTGTAATCACTAATGTGATCAGTTGGAAACAGCTCCTATGTATGGGGATGACAGAGTATACTGTATATTTTGACTTCCTTTGTTTAAAATGAGTTTCTTTAGTACGTTTTTCACATATACACATTCAACTTTAAAATATATATTACACCAAAGAATGTTAAACAGAAATGTGCATAATAGGCACACTATTACAACATTTTTAATTTAAGTTTATTTGACCGGTTTGTTTAATATTTCTATTTTGAATTGCATTATGTATATTTACACTGTTTCCACGTAATGAGTTGTCTGCTGTGAGGGGATAGTTGTGTCTTTATTTAATTGCCCTCCTTTGCTCCTGACCTCATCTGGGCCGAGCTGATTGTTATCAAACATGTTTGATCGTTTCCTCCACACGGATCAATTGAAAAGCTGAAAGACATTACATTAGGTTGGGTCTGACGTAGGGCTGCACGATATATCGTGTCGTGATGATAAATCGCGTTATATTCACATCACAGGACGTGCAATTAAAAAAAGAAAATAATAATTCGTTTTTTTTAGGACCTGCGATATTAAGTAGGCAAATGAACTCAAAAACGTCATGTTACAATTCTTTTGCTGCTTGCTACAAAAGGAAAGCTCGCGCGGCTCTCATTTCAGGGGTACTTGAGTGAGTGACATGCAAACCACCAATCACAATCATTCTTGATCAGATCACAGCAGGATAACCGAGCTAGCTCAGCTTGTTGCTCTGATAACTTAAGATCCAGAAGTCTGTGACTAAAATCCTTCATCCGGTTACATATTGTCAAAAAAATACCAATTGTAAAGCATTAAAGTTCAAGAAAAGATGGATTGCGGACAAAAAAAACTGTCTTTTCGTCAATTCCTGTATTTTTTCATATCGCAATATATATCGCAGGGGAAGAAAATATCGCAATGTCAGTTTTTTCCAATATCGTGCAGCCGTAGTCTGACGGTAATGTGAAATGCCATCTGATGACGCGTCTGAGCATCCAGCTCTATAGAGCGTGATCAGATTAGATGTAACATGCTGCAGTAGTTCTATGCGTAAACTAGAATTGATATAAAAAACCAATTTCCCTGAACATATACCTCACAATGTAATTACAAGTAAAGCATGCTTTAAGAACCACATCAAAATGGCCACTACCCAAATCTCCTCTATATCACTTTTGTGTTTGTTTTTTTTAAACAAAGGATTAGGAGAATATGGAGCAGCACCTTAATGTGGAAATACACTTCTACCAGATCAAACTTAGGCCAGAAAGTCTAAGTGATAACTCTTGGCCCTTGGTCATGAAGTAAAACCTCCTGGCAATGAGTTTATGCATTATTCAACATGTATGAAACTAAGAAGAATATGTCGTTGCTACTTGAGTTGTTTTTATAGGTTAACAAAAATGGACGCCTGACCCCTCCTTCCCTGCTTTGCTTTTTCATAGATCATACAAGTGAATGAACCTTCGTTTTGTGTTTTCAGACTCATTATGTGACATCTGATCAGTGATACCAATGAAAACAAGAGTTTAAATCAAGTGTATTTTGACTGCATGGAAAGTAATTAGACTGAGATTAGATGAGCAACTGGTTCAACCGGCCTCAGGCCTAGTGACAAATGATATCACATGCTCAGTGAGGGAGGGGGAGGTGAGAAAATATCACACTAAAATGATGCCACTTTTATGAGATCTTACAGCTCTAAATGTTTTTGTTTAGAAACAGACCCAGGAGCAACCTTTTCTACCATTGTGTCACACTTTTGACTTGGAGAATTTTGAAAAATGAATCACTTCTTTAGTCTGTGGCCCCCACTGTTGCCAGATTTGAGTAGATCCAGAGTCAGGATGTGCCTCCTCTTACTTTAGGTCAACTGACTCAAGGCCTCTGACTCCAACCAACCAGTGAAATACAAACTATGTGTCAAACTCTGTCAGTGAAGCACTTTGTGTCTAGGAATCCAAATGAGTAACTGGAAAGAAGCAAGGACAAAATGTAAACAGTCAAAGCTGAGATGTTCTAAGAACCACAGCGGGGCTTCACACCCTCCTCATCAGCCATGAAAACCCTGAACTTTGGCTGAATAAAACAAAAATGACAAGACCGAGGAAAAAGAGGAGACGGGGAGGAGGCACTGAGCAGATATGTGATTCATACAGCCACTTATATTTTCCAAATGTTTCCAACCACAGACAAGTGTGCAGCGGGAGGAAGGCTTTCCATTTCTCTCCCTCTCTCGAACACACATGTCAAGGTATTTCCTGTTAGGATTGTGAGGTGGCCAAACAGCATTATGGGTGACTGACTTAACCCTAAATGGGCCCCCTTTTTCTTTCATACAGTGCCTCTATTTCCGGCTGCTATTCTCCCTCCTTGTCCTCCTTTCACTGTTGTCTCCGCCAGTTTGGTGGCGATGAGCCCGAGCTGTTTGTGATTAAAGAACGTTTTCTGAACGTGGCAATTTTCTCTGTGTGACTTACTGGACTACCAGTTACAACACTAAGCTTCATTTCATAAAAATGTCATCCAAAGGCATTTGGTAAAACTCGAATGAAAGACAGAGACAGAGAAAAAGATAAAAAAAGAAAGAAAAAGTTCAGTCTACCCTCTGGCTCTGAGCTCCTCTGCTCTGGAGCCCGCTTCACATCTGGCTTCTATTGAGGAAGGTATTGGGTTGCACACACTCTTCCCCGGCCTCTGTTATGTGTGAATACTCAACCCACACATCAGTACATGTGAACAAACACACACACTAGCTCTCTCTTGCGCTCCCTCTCTCTCTCTCTCTCTCTCAGTTAATGGGCACTGGACACTTTCCCACTCACATGGTTACACACAAGTTTCCTAACACATGGTGTCATGTTACAGAGTTACTATCCTAACAGCTCGTACTGCCTCATTTTTATTTGCACGGTCTTACCCAAACCCATTTTCTACAAAATGTGGTACATGGAACATTTAAGCTGCATAAGGCAAAAATAAGGACAAAGTAGTCTCCAGTAAGTGAATACAACTGGATTTGTCAGTAGGACACAAAGCAGAATAAGTAGCTAACCAGATTACTGGCCTGTCTCTGCAAGCTTTACAGACTGAACAACGCGGCCTGAATGAAAATCGATACAGCATGGGGTAGTGTTTAGGACTAGTCCTCAAACACAGAACATGATCTTCTGGCAGGCCTAGTAATGACAAAAACAGCCATCCAACTTTTTTTTTGTTCCAAGATACAATGGAGAAAAAGATTTGGAGTTGATTTAATGGGATTCAATAGATGTTATGATATATATTGTATGTACCAGTAAGAGTTAGCTGGGCTATGAAATCATGTGAAAAATGTGTAGTACTTTTTCAATCAATTTTTCACATCACACATTGGGAAATTGCATATTGGACCATCAATGGATCCAAACTAATGCTACAACATATACAAGTTACATTGTGATTTAAGGTGAGCCCAGAAACGCTCCCTTTCCAGCAGAGGAATTGGAAAACAATCCAGATTCCTGACCCATACATCATTCTGCACAGAGAGGGTCAACATTCCAAGAGAGCAATAAGCAAAGCACATGTTGGAGAGGAGGGGGACTAAATACATGTTTTGCCTATTGCCTATTCACTGATCCCACGTCCTTGAACTCTCTACCCACACTCTGGTTTATTATCCCTAACCACATTCATATTCCTCTTATATTTTCCTATTCCACAACCACACCCCCACCAGTTGCCCCTCTCTTAAGTGCCCTGCTGCCCACACCCTCCCTCTTCTTTTGTTGTTGTGCCAGCTAATGGTGAATTGGCTTTTCCCCCTTGTAACCCTGGCCAAGAAATACAACCACCCCCCTCTGTCTCTGAGCCATGCAACAGATGGAACAGAGACATGGGGAACACAAACAAATGGTTGTTGTGTGTTGACAGAAACATAGAGACAGAGTTACAGAAAGATGGAACAAATTACTCTCATATGCCACATGTTTCAGGATAGTATGCATACCACAACTGTGTGTGAAAGGAAACAGAAATCTTTAAATCAAGTAAGACTTGGCACTTCACATCTGCATGTTTTTCAAAGATGTACTGCTCTGCCTGTGTATGAGTACCTGCTTGCCGTGGTCCTCTCTTTCTCCTGAAGGCAGCGCCCGACTGCAGCGCTTCCAGCAGACCATCCATGATACCAGTTTCATCCCCGTCTGTAAACATAGAATGAAAACATCAGCAATGCATCAAGAAACACTGGATTAAATCAACATGTAGACTAGAGTCACATTTAAATTGTATTTCTGTCTCACACACGCCACTTTGATATCACAACCATGTTATTATAAATCAATTCAACCCTGACATTTACAAAACATTTTCTCTCAACATCAGGGGAGTGATTGGTGGTTTTTCTAAACCCTCTACCTATCACTGGTTCTCACAGACACACCCACCCCCACACAGACACACACACACACACACACACACACACACACACACACACACACACACGGGCAGGGAGGTTATTTACCAGCCATGTTGGCAAATTAGCTAAATTAACCCAGATAGGCAGTGACCTAGTTCAGCTACTGTCTCTGCTAGGGAGGTAACCTCTAAAACACACACATACAACATTATTAAAAAGACACACCCACTGAGACCAAACCTCCTCATAAACATTTCAATATTACAGAATGAATGAGTTCTGCTGATGGTTAAAAGATGCCGACTAGAAAGTAACCTTGTATTTGTGTGGGAGTACAGTCACAGTTTGTACACGTGGTCTTGTTGTTTGTTTGTTTACATCCACATGGTCTGGTGATCTTAAATCAGGAATCAGGGGGTACTTCATGACAATGCAGCTTTGTGTATAAGTGTATGAGTGTTGTCATTATTGTTTTGTGGGCAGGATTCAGAGGCACAGCTCAGCACTCAGGCAGATGGTTTTAATTATTTCTATTTGAACCTGAAAAGAGACAGAGGGGTCTGGAGAAGGGGGCAGTGAGGTTGGGGGTTAAAGGTTTATGTTGTCACCTCCCCTACCCCCAAACACAAAAAAAACACATAGCTCTGCGCAAACACACACACACAATATTTAATCCTGCAGTAAGCCATGAAGCAGATGGTCTGTGGTCTCTCTCGCCTGTCACATCAGAGAAAGTCTCTCACACACTCCACAGGACTTCCACAGCTCACATACACCCCTTCCTGTCCATGCTCTGCAACTGCACACACACATCCCGCCCTTTCCATGCTCTGCAACTGCACACATAGATCAGAGGGATGTAGGCCATGTTGTTCTCCTTCCGGGAAAGCACATCTGGCACATTTCCACTCAAACTAATCACATGGTTAGCTTAAAATACTGGTGGTAGCACACAGACACACAAACCTATTTGTGAAGATGCACTGGAGGCGATTGAGGGCCCAAACAATGACCTGGCTGTGAATAAAGAAGTCTTATTGAAGCCAGAGTGAACTCCTGACTAAAATTAGAATGTCCTAGGCCAGTGCACTGTATAGCATATGCATGGAGCTCTTTAGTGTTTTTGTGTGAGTGTGGCCTCGGGCAACAGTGTTTCATGAAGCCATATAGCTTTTTTTTAAAAAAGCTTAACAATGTTTGGTTTGTTCGAGGATAGTAAAGGGCTCATAATGGGGGGAATAACACTTGATGCATTAAACCACCTTTAGATAATACATGAGGGACAGATATCCAGTTAATGGTGTTATCATGCAGAATCAATACACCATTAACATTGAAATGGCCTCTGAAACTGTGTTGGAAGACTCAGTGCAACAAATGCATGGATTGGGAGTAGGACAAGCATGCACACACACTCCACACACACTCCTCTAGTGCAGGATACAAACGGCCAGGTATTACATGAGCTGCAGCAAATAAGAACATAAGACGGATTCATTTGTGTAATTGGGTTGGATCATGAGCTCTTAAAGATGTCTCTTTAAATCTCTTGTGTGAGGACAACATGCTGTGTGGAGCAGTAGCACCCCTAAAGGACGTTCACACAATAACATTTGAAGATATACATGCAATATTTTAGTAGCAACTACGGCAGAAAGAAAAGCAGAGAGAAGGGAAACAATTCTGGATGAAAAGACAGCGTTCATGGGGGGAAGAATTTCTATATTCCTAATGTGCCATGATATTGTCTCTCTTTCACAGTGGCCTGGAGTGAGACAGGCTACTCAGGCTTATCCTATCTCATCCTCTCTCTCTCTCCCTCCATGTGCTTTTCTCCTCTCCTCCCCTCTTTACAACACAGTCTAATCCTCAGGAGAGCATCTGCTGTTCTACTACCTTCCCTCCCCCACACTACATTCTTTACTCACTCTCTGTGTGGAGCACGAGCACTCCTTGTGGCAGTTCCCATACCAGCATCTGTGTGGGAGTGTGACCACACATGCACACACCCTTTATCACGTGCATAAAAGCCTCAACCTTTTACAGACAGCACTGACACCTAGCTGTAGAAACCAGGAAAAGCCAGTTGCCAAGTAGTCTGGCATTTTCCCAAGGATGACAGCCAGTAATAGATGTTTCATTATAGCAGCATGCAGTATTTATCAGATCAAATTAGAGAAAAGGTCTTACATAGAGAGTGAGTGTGAGATGTTGGGTGTGTCAGTCTGGTTCCCTGGAGCCTCAGCTATGTTTTACGAGGGCCAAATAAAGCCAAGGAAAGGCAGTAAATGATATGGTGATCAGAAGATTCAATAAGTTATCATCTAGAAAGAATCTCAGAGGTTTCTGTTATTCACAATAACTATCATCACATGCCTCGATCATGAGCAGAAAGAGTCCCAGTGAGTGAGCGTCTGCCTGTCTGGCTCACATAGGAATGACAAGGCCACAAAGTGCAAACACACACTGACCTTCTAGGGTTTACCCAACGACTGGGATGGTGTACAAAGAGACAGAAAGTGAGAGAGAGGAACATTCAGAGAATTTAGCAGATAGTGAGGGTATGTGAGTGGGGAATCGGAAATAACAAGGACGTTGTTGGTGTGAGAAAGTAAAGCTGCTGTTAAACAACCTTTGTGTAAAAGCCATCCAGTGTGATGGTACAAGCAAATACAAGACAAAGGCCAGGTGTGTGTATGCCAACATTTGCTCGTGGTTGAATTTGAATAGGGGGGGGGTATTGAATGACTCCGGGCTACAGGGGGAAACCAAATATGCCACCTGTATGTAAATGATCTCTCGCCCACTAACGCTCATGAACAACACACACATGTTTGAAGCAGTATAATGTTCCATTCGTGCATGCTGAACATGACATTTGACTACTTCACTTTCTACCACAAAATGGCAGCTATGTACGTTAAACACTGAGAACAAATATTCCAAGTGGGGCCTCTGTGCTTGCTGTTTCTTTAAGAGCCCTTTAAATGGACACGGGGGGAGGGAAAGGGGGAAAAAGAAGGAGTAATGGAACAAAAGCAAAATAGAGAGGAGAAGCCAGCTGGAACATGGAGAACTAGGAGGAAGGCCAGGACTACTTTTTGTAAAAGAGGTTCACTGAAAAGATGCAGAGAACTCTTTGGCCGAAACAAGGGTTCTCTAACACATAAGCAAAGCAAAACAGAAACACTCACAAAAAAAGGCATAATTTGTAACACAAATACAAACACTTATAAACTAAGTGAACTTAGGCTGGAGCTCATTTTGACTGTGAAGTCCCAGGGGAACAGGACTGGAGTCGGAGAGAGGAGGAATGTTCTGAAACTAGGTCAGTCTGAGAGAAGGGGGAAAAGTGCCTGTGCATTAATGTGTGTCTGCAAGGCAGGATTTGAGTGTTAACTGTGTGTATACGGGGATGAGAGAGTGAGAGAGTGAGAGAGTGTGAGTGTGTGTGTGTGTTACATGGGACAATATGCTGCTGGCCTTTATATAAGGATAAGAGCATCTCATAGAAGAGTGAAAATGTGTTTTCCTGCGATAAAGAGATTTAGGCGTTCTTTCAGTTCTCCTTTATGCCAGCAAATCCCCGGTTCACCAGAGGAGCGAACAGAGGTCGCACGGATCCTTATATGCATCCTCCTTGTATCTGAGGAGCCTGTTGTAACTGTTTTAATTGCAAACACAGGTCATCAATATTAGATGAACTACGGTCTATAAATACTGATGGGTTCTGCATTCACACACACACAAAGACACACACACACAAAGACACACACACACATATTCCACAGAAGTGTGGACTCTGACTGCCCCCAACTGGAGTCTGAGGGAAATGCAAACTGAGAAACAGGGAGTGCTTCTCTTTCTCTCACACACAGAAATGATAAAGCAAGTGTGACCTGTGTTGATGTCGAGATGCTGGTTCTTCTTGAGTTTCTCCTCCTTCTCCTTCTCTGCCTTTTCCCTGGCCAGTTTGGCCCTCTTGATCTTCTCTTCAGCCTCCTTCCTCTTCTGATTCTCCTTTACTGCTTGCTGGTGGGGAAACACACAGAAAAGGTATAAAGACAGTGTCTGTGCTTACATTGACTTTGGGGTCTGGTGAGGACAAGTGTGAAAAGTATGAAAGTGATTTTTAGAACAAAAACTCAAAGACAGCTGAATGATGGCTCTGATTGATGTCTGTGTATAAACATAACTTCAAACTCAGGGAATGGCAGTTATCCATATTAACCGGTAAAACAGGTCACCTCCTGCGGGAGCCCTTTCAAACGGCACATTTACAGTTGATGTGTAAACTGTCGCTCTCATTCTTTATTATTGTCAATACAAACACACAGCCTTTTTTCTCTTATTGATTTGACATTCAGTCTTCCATCCTTTCCTCTTTCATCTATTTTTTTTGTTGACTCCACTTGTGTGTATGTCCTTGAACTCTATGTGCAAGAGCTGGATTTGATTGAGAACCACACCGGCAGATCAAGCTCGAGTTCGATCATTCACACAGAAAAACACACCTGGAACATGTTTTTAAAGGTGTTGAGGTCTCCAAAGAATTCCTCCACTGAGATTTTTCTCGGGTCAAAGACAAAGTACTGTCCCAGGTCGGTGTATTGCTTCTCCATATTCTTGTGCAGCAGATCCAGCTTCTCATGCTGCTCATGGGCAGAACTCACAAAAATGTGGAAACACGATGTTAAGGAATATACAACATATATCTCTGTATGCTAACAAGCCATGACAATCATTTATAATGACAGGATCTATTGCTTTAATGCTTTTATAAACAGACTGTTTGATGTAATTACTGAATAACTTGATGATTACTATGAAATATGTCATTTAAATAAAGAGGATATTGCCATCTTCTCCACAAACAGGTCCTTGTCATTTTGTGGAGGAGGGAAGGTTTCCAGATCTTTTTCCAGTGTCTTGATCTGACGGCCCATTAGCTCAAGGTTCTTCTGGAGTGTCTCTGCCGAAACTGCAGGGAAACATTATTGACACGGAGCACGTACATACAATGCTCATCATGGACTGTTGGTTTTTCAAATGACTATGACAATGAGAGCACAATGTACTCGTAAAAATGATTGTAATGCGTATTCAGGGCTTTTCATGGATGATTGCATTTGATGCTATGTAGTGATGGATAGAGATCAGTTAAATGACCCATGTACCTCTGCTGGCCTTTTCCACATGGACGAGCTCGTCTGCAAAGCCCATGATCTCTGGGTACTGCTCCTGGCACACGTCAGCCAGGAAATGGAGCAGTGTCTGCTTCAGATCAGCTGTTTTGGTGTCACGAAGCTGATTGGGAGAATGATTGATTTAAAAATGGCACCGTGAAATAATAATTCATCAAAAGTATTTCATGTCTGCACAACCGTCAGTGTTTTTCAGAGTCAGATAAGGGGTTTGCAAACATCCAGCATTTCTAGACTTGTGTTCTTTTGCCTGTATTTTACATTATAGAAGTAGTTAAAACACATTATATACATACAGTGTAGACATCACTGTTGGTCCACTAAGTTGGTGTAGCATCACTGTACTGATAAAGGAGTTATAGTGCCATGTGTACATATATAACTCTATCTCCAATACTACATACATATAGCTTATATTGAAATACAAAGGGGGAGACCTTTGTTTGTTATTGACTATGGTACACCTGCATGAAATGGAATAATATGACACAGAAAAAGTTTCTGCTTTTGTGGAGGGCACACAATAATGTAACGATGAAAATAAGTGAAACCAAAGACATGAATGATGAATTGATTCCACTTCATACGGTCATTGTGTTTACACTGCAGGTAAGGCCCAGTTAATTGAAGGCTTTACGCGTATGAGACCCAGTTTTATGTAATTTACTAGCATTTCTAGTTGGTCTTCAAGAAATACAAGAAAAGTAAGACTGATGGCCTTTCCAGTCCACTCAATACATTTGTGTGTGTGAGTTTGTGTGTTGTGTGTACTAAGTCTAAACCTCCTTTTACCTTGCACAGGTATGATATGGAGAAGCCAAATGCCTTCCCATTGCGGGAGCCAGCGTTCATGTAGTTCCCTACGAGGAGGATGATCTCCAGCAGCTTGGTGAAGGACTGGCTCTTACTCAGCTCCTCGCAGGCCGCTGTCACAGACACCACATCTGGCTTGATGTTGTTCATCTGCTCCTCGAACTGCAGCCTGAACAGGATGGCCTGAAGCCGTGGCATCAGCCGCTTTATGCCGGACATCTGAAGAGAGAAAAGAGGGACTCCTGATGTGTTTTTACCCAACATAGATTATGCACTTGTGTGTGTAGCTGTGTGTGGCTGAAGGGGATTTCATCCATTACTCACATCAACCACAGTTGAACAAAGAAGTCTGTGTTTAGCAGCATGAAGTATTCTGTGTCTAAATGATTGACTCTATATCAGTATTTCAACTTTGTCTATGTCTCATCACACTGATTTCCCTGCAATGGTTGTGGTCAGTCAGGCCCTAGTCAGCTGGGACATGCTTACAAAAAACCAAATGAAGTGATATTTTATTTGTGTGCATGTTTTCTCACCACTACTCCAAACTGCTCAGACTCAGCCAGGTCGTCGTATTCCTCCTTCATTTCTCCCAGGACCTTCAGCTGCTCTGCTTCTGGCAGCAGTTTGATCAGGTTCTAGGTGACAATAAAGGCAACATATACATGAAAGGATCTAGAGACACTTCAAGTGTCTCAAACTACTCCTTGAGAAAACAGAAAAGCAACTTTATTAACCACTTTCTTCAACCTGTGTCTGGGCATGCACACTGAAGGACAATTAGCTATTGAGCAGTATCCTTAAGGATCAATGTGTGAAGAATGCCTATGTTACGCTGCCAGATCTCAGTTGTAAAATAGATAATGTAGTTCAACTTCCTGGTTAAGAAATATCAAATTCAATTAAACAAGGCAGAGGTTTGCTGTAGGCTCTATTATGAGCTGATTGTACTTGTATTATAGTTTTACATGCAGATCTGAGCTCTGTACCTGAAGCATGGACTCTGTGATGACCTTCTCATTAACCTCAAAGATGGCGTTTTTCATTTCCACATAAGGAAGACGGAACGAACCCAGGAAAATGGCTGTTTAAACAAACAATTAAAAGCAGTTATTAAATCAAACACAATTTAATTAAACAAATGTTATTGATGACATTTTAATTAAGGTGTTCACTGAATGAATTTACAGAGCCACGCCATTGGTGCTGTGGTGTCAGAATTTGAAACCGTTGGTAAGAGACTTACAAAGGTTCTGCGAGGTCTTGGAGTCAAGAATCTTCAGCTCCTTCACCTTCTTCTTCTGCGTCGTTTTCTTCTCATCCCCGCCGTCCTGCTCCTTTTTGGCTGGAGAGATGGATAGAGAAATGGGGAGGGGGGTGGCAATATTCAGAACGAGAGAGGGGAGACTTTGTTAGAACTTGCATCTTGGTAACTTTCTAAATGTCAGATGACTATTAAAGCTGGATATAGAACATGTTTTGATAAGAAGTACAGTGGGTTCTGTAATGGAAAGAAATGTGGATTATGGATAGAGGGTCTATGTGACGGCGACAAAAACTGACAGAGTTGGCATGGCCTTCCCTTTTATAAATTCCCTCCCAACTGTATGGTGTCATGGAGGTGTTAGGATTATTGTATCAATGGCCTTGGGTATGATGAGCTGCTATAAAAGGGCTGGGGGCAAGACATCTGTGTGTGTGTATGTGTATGTGTGTGTGTGTGTGTGTGTGTGTGTGTGTGTGTGTGTGTGTGTCTGATTAATACGGTGAGACGTTTGTCGGCTGTAAGGCATACAAAGTTTGTGCTCACACACAAGCATGTACACTACATTCTGATACACGCGCACACACACATACACGCACTTGACAGAAATACTTCACATTAACTGGTTCTGACAAGGTTAGGATTGTGACTGTAAGGATGTGTCAGCGTGCGGGGGGTGATGAGAACGAGGGGTGAAAGATGAACAAGCACACGGGTTTGACCACATGACAGCCCACTGTACAGACCTAACGTCAGCAGATTACCGGATGTCACATTTGTTCACTTTGTTTTTGCCAATATTATCTAACCACTCCTACTGAATCTATCAGTTCAAATACTGTATGTCATGATTAGTGAAGAAATCATTAGTCGACTAAATAAGGCACAATTTATACATTAATCAACCACTTAGTTATGTAACAGTTGTGGTAGATTCTCAAATGTATATTATATTTCTATTATAAAACGAAATGCCTCATCAACTTGTAGAAAAAAAGTGATTTCCTGTTCTTGACTGAGATCACTTCCTACAAACAATATTAATAATGAAACATTGTATTTGTTGAATATGTATTGTTTAAATCATAATAACATTCGTAAAATAATTGTTAGTGCTTAGGGCCCTTAGCTGTAACTATTCCTGTTTATCCATTATCATACAAATATTTGGCCTCGTTGATTAATCCCTGAGTACAATCTGTAAAGCTACAAGTTTGATAAACCCTGAAGGATGTGTAACCCCTACCTTCTTATGTCTCATTCTCTATGGCCTTGGACTTATCTTTGTTTAGACCCAACAGTAACAGGAGACAAGGATCACTGTCTGGAAAACAGCCAGCAAGAGCGCTGGTACAGGATGTACAATATGAGTATGCTGTGTCTCTTTGTCTGAAACACAGACAAACAATATCAATCTAAATCAGCCCATGTGCGCCGAGCAGCCCACCTGTTTCCACTGCCCGTAGGTGACCTCATGTAATGACATCAGAACAGAAAATAAACCAGACAAGGTTATCTGGACTGAAACTACTATAACTACTGCAAAATAATGACTAGCTGTTGTGAAGACAGACCTACTTATGGGGGCTGCCTAATTACCAGAGTTAAATATATTCATTATTCATTGTAATTTAGGTTTATGGAACCCCGACCTCTCTGTACTGCATAAGTGGCCTTATTTATTTACTTCCATGCAGTCATTCCACCATCTTTTCCCACAATCTGGTTGCATTCAACGGCAGTTTGTTAGATCATTGAAAAATAGTCTCATTCAAACAGCAACACTGAAATCATTCTCCCCACAGACACAGAGATATCTGCTGCAGCATAGCAACTCATTCACCCATCTGTGTGTGCATCCTTCCATATGTCCAGTCAAACAGTGCTTTGTCTCTGTGTGAGAGGCCAATCAGCCTAGTAACAAGTCCAGGCTTCTTAATGAGCTCCTCATCTCTCCAGTTAGAACACACACTTACACACAGAACAGTCATTCGGCCAGTCAGGGGACTGTGGCCTCAATAAGTCCCATTGTTTCCCTCAGTGTCAGCTTCAGCTCTATTAAACTCCTCTCTCAGAATGGACCATCACTTAATGTGTCTTGTACAGATTGACTCAAACCTGGGGGCATCTAATCAGTTTGAACTGTGTACTTCTACTGCTGCATATCATTTGGGTGATATCAGCCGTGTGAATCACTGCCATGAATAAATAATACTTTTGTGTGTGGCAAACACTCGGGCCATAGTCCCTGCCGAGAGCAGGAAACCACAGCAGGAAGTGAACCATTAGACACACACAGGGTAGGAAAATCCATCAGGATATCTGAGAGGAAACAACATAAATATCTTCACACAAACACAGCAAGTCACAGCTGAGAAGTTAGGAAGAGACTCAAAGGAAGTGACAAGCATCTACAAATAAACATCTTAGGAGAGGGGCAGAAAAGAGACCTGAGAGAGATAAATTAAAAACACATTTCAACAGGATTCTGGCCCCTAGAAAATAAGGGAATGAAAAAAATAATTGAATCAAATTCAATTAAATCTCATGGCTCTTGTCATATTGAGGCCTTAACCGTACTCTTTTAATATAGACTGATATTGAAAAATACCCCTCTTGAATATGGGTACATACACATTTAAATATGGGCATGCACAAGGGGAGGTCTAATCTGGAGGGGATATAATCTCAAGGACATGCAATCCAGTTAATCTGGGACAAGACTACTGACCTAGTGATGGCATCATGTCACTAGGTCAGAGTGTGCCTGTCAGTGTGCCTGTCAGTGTGTGTGTGTGTGTGTGTGTGTGTTTGTGTGTGTGTCCCAGCTGCTCTATAGCCAATGGAATCAGGCACAGCTATGTTGTCATCATGGCTGATTCATAAAATGGGGTCTGGTGTGCAGATTGTAAAATGGCTGCTCTGTAGTTTTCACATGGATAGTTTATTTCATTTATGAGCTGATGGCACCCCTAGCGGTGGCTATGAGGCACACACCATGTTACACTTAGTCATTGTGGAGGAGGAGAGGAGATGACAGAGGGAGAACACATGTGTGGCTAGACATACACACATACGAGCACACTATTAGAGTGCCGACATCTTAACATCCACATGTTTTATCGTACCAGCTGCCTTTTTGTTATACTGTCTCACAAATAATGGTCGTTTTGTGGAAACAAAACCCATACCTACCACACACACACACACACACACACACAACACACACACACACACACACACACACACACACACACAACACACACACACACACACACACACACACACACACACACACACACACACACACACACACACACACACACACACACACACACACACACACACACACACACCACACACACACACACACACACACACACACACACACACACACACACACACACACACACACACACACACACACACACACACACACACACACACACACACACACACACACACACACACACACACACACACACACACCTCTTTTCCTGGAACCCCCTCCTCTCCCCAACAGCTGCTCGGCACTGAGATGAGGGGGGGTTTTAGGTCCGTGTTATTGTGTGTTGCTGTGCACGGAGAGCAGCATGTGTGCGTCATGAATGGATAACTACATTTTTCCATTTGTAACTTCTGTTCTTAATTAAGTGGAAAGAAAGAAATAAAATGGAAGGGGAGAGGAGGGATAGCAGGGGTTCTCAGAATCACGAGGAACCAAGTCATGCAGGGGTCTCTGTCAATATATAACCGAGTGTGTGTGTGTGCGTGCGTGCGTGCGTGCGTGCGTGCGTGTCTGTCTCTACACAAAGAGGAGTCTGTTTATCAGTCAGCAGACCTGAGTGTGTCCTTCACCCCCCCTCCTATTCCCTGTCTCTCTCATTCCCTAACTCCTTAAAAGGAAGAAATGTGTGGAGGAGTAGATGATAGGAAGCCATGCTTGGAGAAAGGAAATAAAAAAAAAAAGGAAAGATGAAAAGAAATGAATATAAAGCAAGTAAGGTACACAAAAAGAGACAAAGAAAAGAAGAAAGCACACTTTCATCCCTGACCACTCTGAACTGCAGCCTGACTTTAAAGAATCGTTTCAGTCCCAGAGAGCAAAGCCTCTTCTCTTTTCAATCTATTCTGTCTTTTCATCTTCACATCACCACTCCCTGCTTGTGGAGTGCTTTAGTTTATTTTACAACCCACTAAAAGCTTTCAGATGATGTGCTCTATTGTATATCTGGTGCCACATGTGTTTTTCACGGGCCCTCTGGTGGCGGGATCTGAGAAAAGCAAAAAAATGAACTTTATATAACTTCAAACTAACTTTTTTCCCTTCAGCATTCCATGGCTGGAGATTGTCTACACTGGAACAGAGGAGAGGGTTAGTTTCAACATCAATATTTTTGGGGTGAGCAGTTCTTTGGAAAAAGCTGCTGAGGCTGCCCAATTGAAAGAACCACATATGCACAAACAAATCTTTTGCCAGCTTTTGACGTCAACAAAGACCAACCACATTTCAAGGAAACTTAATAAGAGCGTGTGTTTGGTTTTACAGGTTTTACTTTAAGAATGCTATAAGAAAGTATGAGCATTAAAAGGGGAATGAGACAAAGAAAAAAATAAAGGGGAGGGGGCATAAAGCTCTTTGTCTCAACTCAACAGAAGGCCAAAACTAGGCAGACAGGACAGCTGTAGCTTCGGTCCCTTTAAACTTTAAATGTCTAACATTATGTCACTCTCTATAGCAGTGTGTGTGTGTGTGTGTTTGTTACGATGTAAGCAGGTTTGACAGAAGAAGAATAAGGGGGTTTCCACGGTAACCTCGGGTTTTGAAAGAGCCCCTTCATCCTGTTTTTCTCTGTGAAAGGAAATGAGGAGGAAAAAAAAAATTCCTGACTGTGTGTGTGTGTGTGTGTGTGCATGTGCGCTTGTGTTTGTGTGTCATTGTGTGAAAAGAACCAGATGGCAGGGTGGGGCGGGGAGGAGGGGGGACGGGGGCAGGATGTGGGAGGGCCAGGATGCAGGGGGAGGGATTGTGGGAGTGGCTAAGACCCTGCTCACTTGCGCTCCCCTGGTGCATGAAGAGT